ACCAAGGAATCTTGATAGATAAATGCATGTTGTCTAATTTCATTTGGCATCATTTTAGACCAATGGCTGGCGTGTTAACATTTATTAGGCATGTAATGATGCATCGATTCAGATTAAAATAGATCCTTATGCGCATGGCACATTAATCGAATCGTGTGAGAGAATCCATATTTTTTCTCATCTTTTTTCCAAGATATGACTGATAGTATGTATGAAGTTTATGGTCGAGAACCCTTTCCTAAACTCAGCTTATGTGATTGACAGTGGATAGATCGTGGTAGATGATAATATATTGTATGTCATTGGTTCCTGTGACTCGTGCAGTCACCAGATTGGGAAAAAATTTACAGATTAAAAAACAATCTAATCGTAACTAAATCATCACCTCAAATTGCAACAGTGATTTGATGAACTGGTTGCAAATTACTCTTTGGTTCTATTGAGTAAAGTCACGTAGGTAAAAATAACAAAAATCACGACGTTTCGGCCACAACACAAGTGGCCTTCATCAGGTGAAGGGACGAAACTGTCTGGAGGACAGCGCTGGAGTGAAAAAAGCCACACTCAGATCACGACCTTTAAGCTGTGTGAGAAGAAACAAAGTGCCTTGACAAAGGAATTAGCATATAATTTAGCATTGATACATTCACCGAGGCACCTAGTACAAATCAAACAGGAGAATTTAGCGAAACACAACCATGCTCAGACCGCGGACCTTTAAGCTGTGTGCGAGCAAACAAGGTGTCCTGACAAAGAAATTAGCATAAAAATTAGCATTTGATTGGGCGATTTTAGAAAAGAGGTGGTGTACGTGCCGGTGGACTTGCCGTTTGGCGTGGGGGGGGGGAGTTTACCTATTGATGGTGTGAAAAAGGAATTTATAAGAGCTGCGAAAGTTTGGGGTACCACTAATTGAAAAAATATACTGTACCATTGAAATTAGTTTAATGTTTAGTTCGATTTAGAACATCTTTCCAATGGTTGCTTAATTTGAAACCATCTTCTCGGTTGAAATTGTGTCTGTGTTTGTAGATCTGAATTGCCTCGTGAACAAATCTCTGATAAAAACCCGTGGGTTTGCAAAGAACCTTGGTATCGGAGAAAATTATATCGTGATCACCCACAGCGTTGTAACAGTGATCAGCCACGGCAGAAGAATTCGTTTTGCCGTGTTTCAAATCTGATTTGTGCTCGCGAATTCGGTCAGAGACATGTCGCTTTGTCTCCCCGATATAGCAATCACCGCAGGTACAACTCAATTTGTAAACCCCGGGGTACTGTAAGTCAGGAATTACATCCTTCACGGATGGGATCAGATCACGAATTGTGTACTGTATTGAACCGGACCTGGATCTTGTGTTTGTTTAGAATTTTGGAAATCTTTTTAGTAACGCCTGCTATATATGGTAGTGTGATGTTTTTGACCAGAGTATCAAGTGGTTGTTTCTGTATGGAGGGAGAAACAGCTTGGCGGATGGTACGGTCAGAGTAACCATTCCTTTTGAGGGCCAGGTGTACATGTTTTAATGTACACCTGGCCCTCAAATTCGCGAGCACAAAATCAGATTTGAAACACGGCAAAACGAATTCTTCTGCCGTGGCTGATCACTGTTACAACGCTGTGGGTGATCACGATATAATTTTCTCCGATACCAAGGTTCTTTGCAAACCCACGGGTTTTTATCAGAGATTTGTTCACAAGGCAACTCAGATCTACAAGCACAGACACAATTTTCAACCGAGAAGATGGTTTCAAATTAAGCAACCATTGGAAAGATGTTCTAAATCGAACTAAACATAAAACTAATTTCAGTGGTACAGTGTATTTTTTCAAGTAGTGGTACCCCAAACTTTCGCAGCTCTTATAAATTCCTTTTTCACACCATCAATAGGTAAACTCCCCCCCCCCACGCCAAACGGCAAGTCCACCGGCACGTACACCACCTCTTTTCTAAAATCGCCCAATCAAATGCTATTTTTTATGCTAATTTCTTTGTCATGACACCTTGTTTGCTCGCACACAGCTTAAAGGTCCGCGGTCTGAGCGTGGTTGTGTTTCGCTAAATTCTCCTGTTTGATTTGTACTAGGTGCCCCGGTGAATGTATCTTTGCTAAATTATATGCTAATTCCTTTGTCAAGGCGCTTTGTTTCTTTTCACACAGCTTAAAGGTCGTGATCTGAGCGTGGCTTTTTTCACTCCAGCGCTGTCCTCCAGACAGTCTCGTCCCTTCACCTGATGAAGGCCGCTTGTGTTGTGGCTGAAACGTCGTGATTTTTGTTGTAATTTTTTTACCTACGTGACTTTACCAAATAGAACCAAAGAGTATGGATCCTTGCAGTCACGAAAGCTTTAAATTTAGAATTGGCTGCAAATTGTTACATGCCTAATAATGACGTATCCTACACTGGGAGTGTGAATCTTAGAGGGATGTTGTTGGTCAATGAAACACAAACTTAGGGATACTCCCATCCTTTAGCAGGTACACTAACCCTCATGTCACGCTCGCAGGTTCGAAGGCATTTCCCTCCTCCCCCCCCCCCCCCCCCCCCCCCCGAAAAGCAAAAGGATAACGGGCAGTAGTTTGTTCTACCTCTCTCACCCTGCTGAAATAGCTTTTTGATGCAGTATGCAGCACGGTGGCCTGCATGTTACGCCATCAGCTGTGACTCATTAAGGTCGCGCATTTCAAAGTCGCCGCTGCGTTACGGGTCATTGCGATGGTGATGTATGCGTGCGAGCGGGTAGCTGCGTGCAAATGTGCGCTTGTGAAATGTGAGGCTTGAATGTAGGTACCATAACATGTAATTATGAATACCATATGCTTTTTTGTTACATAAAGGGAATATCACGTGATGAAACACAAATGTGTGCCTTTTCATTTTTTTCGGATAGCTATGATTTTTTATATTTTGGTGTAACGTCCCGTGAAAAGCATCAGTTCGCAAAACGTGGAAGCCACAGTTTACGATGTTGCTTTTTATCCCAATTATGCAATAAATCCATTGAATAGTAGGCCCAAATTCCCACGAGAGGAGGCTCTCCTGAGCTCCCTAGAGCCCCCGTCTAGTGGAGACCCTTCAACCAGGAGTGGCGCACCTCCGATGTTGGCGCCCGCCGTTCACGGCGAAATTAAATTGGATTTCAACGAATGGAGCTCTCTCTTAACCCGCTGCGTTGCCAAAAGGATCTGGTGTAAATTGCACGGGAAGCAATTGCCATTCTAATTGGAGGCTTTGTGCGCAATTGGAGAGAGCAACGCTTCTTTAACAAATAAAAAAACTTGACTCGTAGTTTTCAGGTCGGCTCAGGATAGCATTGAGCCAGCACTGTTGAGATCCTGAATCGCAATGTGGGTTTTGAAGCCCACTTCTCGTGCATCGTGAATTTAAGGTGTCAGCCCAGTCACCAGTGACTCTACAAAACCCATGAAAAAAAAACACGTACTATTAAATTCGCGTTTATTTTTCTTATTTCGCTTTAAAATAAAAAGTGGTCATCTCTTTAGTGGGGCACGTAAGAATGTGCAGTTCTTGTGTATATAACAGGTGACTTGAACGGATCTCAGGAGCAGTTGTCCGATTATTTATCAGCTTTTGCAGGCCGATGGGATAATGCACCCAATCTGAGAGAATTCTGAGTGGACTCTTCATCTGAGAACACAGTTGGAACAGAATTGTGGAAAAAGACAAAATGTTACGTGATGCAAATTGTTGAGTCTCAGAGTTGACACTGAACATTTTTTATAATGTGCTAAAGTAGGAACGACTACTTTCATCTTCACCACTATGGTATTCACAGGGCCGGTTTAACCCATACACCTACTATAATCACCCAGGAATGTCTGCCCTTAACGCTCGTGACGTCACTCAACATCGACCAGCCCCCCTCATTAATATTCATGAGCAGGTGACTTCTCCAAATGGACACCCCCCTCGCCCCTCATTAAAAATCTTGAGCGGATGACGTTACGCCACATCGAACAGCCCCCCTCATTAATAATCACGAGCAGGTGACGTCCTCCACATGGACCCCCCCTCATTAATCATGAGCATGTGACGTCACTCCCCATGGAACACCGTCCCCCCTCATTAATAATCTTGAGCAGGCGACGTCACTCTATATCGAACAGCCCCCCTCATTAATAATCATAAGGCGACGTCCTCCAAATGGACACCCCCCCAACATTAATAATAATTAGCGGCTGACGTCACTCCACATGGGGGGGGGGGGGTGAGGCGCCTCCTCCCCCCTCCTCGGCGTCAACTCACAACCCTCACTACAAAGGCAGAACCCTCTCGCCACGCGATGTGCGTCACATCAATGACGTAGCATCCAGTCATACCTGTACTTGTAATAACGCCTATTCAATAATAGCAGGGTATTCAGCTACTCCTCTTCCATACCTATGACATACTATGGGACGGAGTTGTAGCACATGTGCATATGCAGGGATGACTTGAAGTTGACCTTTGTCTTTTGCAGAAAGGGCAGAGGAACATCTGTGTGACAGTTCAGGTGGTCATAACAGAGATAGCGCATGTACAATTCAATGGGGAATAGCTGGACTACCATACCCAGAGAACACCCAATCCATCATTCCATTAAGAATAAAAACTTCAACCACAACTTGACATCGTTTTGCAGCTGTCATTGCCAAAACGATTGCCGATTGCATTTCAATTCACTAATACGCACAACATCATTTATTGCGGTATTATTTAGTTATTATTTGGTGTAACTTATTTATTTCTCCTGCCATTATTTACTTTCGCAATTCATATATTTTTGCTCTTATTTTTTTTTCTCCCCCCCCCCCCTTTCGTTTTCCCCGCATCCCTCCCGCTGTGCGTACGCGCGTCCGTGCCTGCGTGGCGGCGTGCGTGCGCACCACGCGACGGCCTGCGCGTGCGTGCGCGAGTCGTGTGTGTGTGTGTGTGGGCGCGTACGTGGGGCTGTGTGTGTGTGTGTGCGTGCACGCGTGTGTCCCCGTGTGTTCAGCGAGGGTTGCCGCCGAGAGAACACCATGAAGAACGTGGGCTGCCGCAAGTACGCCTTCAACTGCCTGCAGCTCGTCACCTTCCCCAGACATTACCGCCCGCCCGATGGGACCTTCGGCAAGGTGGACACCTGAAGCCAGTCCGGGCGCGGGTGCACAAAAACTGGCGTTCGCATGCATGCATGCATGCGCGGTGCACGGGCTGGGCATTGGGAAATATTGAGCGGGTTAGGTATCAAGGGAAGTCGAACTATCGTAGATCAATATGAAATACAAGTCTAAATTTTACATTGCCACAGTTCCTCCCCGCCTCTTTCTGTAAGGGGTCCATCAGCGAACATGTTAGATGATATGTTTAAATCGTAAAGTCGTGTTGAGGATGGTAATGTCATTAAAAGGTATTTTATTTAGACAGGAAAGCTTTATTGAGTTTCACGACTCTATCAGCAGGGTTCTGCCTTGGCATGTTTGTGTCCCAATTCCAATGTAATGAGTGTTTTGTGTGTCGGAGGAGATTGGAGTGGCTGCAGAAAACTCGCCATACAAGGGCATCACACTCCAAGGTGATCACTGACAGGTCCACAATCTCATGTGTCGTGCTGCTATCTCCTTGCCACCTTCAAATTTCAAGTAAAAGTTTATTTTGTTTGACCAGGTGAGAACTAAATATAACAGAACTTTCGTCGCATTTTCAAGAATAGTCCGGGTCACCAAATTGACAAAGCTGAAACAAACAACAAAGCATAGCAATGAAGTAAAGCAATAGGAACAAAAACACTATTATATATACATTGCACAAACCTTAAATCAACGTTAAAACAAAGCTAAATATAAAATTGCCTGCAGTGCCAATCAACTCGGGCAGATTACCTCCAGATCATAGCACAGTTGCCAAAGCTAAGCTGCAGAAACATTAAACGTATAGGTTGACTCCAGTACTAATATTTAAACAGACAATGCTATATATCCAAAGCAATTGCAAGTGGAGTTATAAAGAATCGAGAGTTTATCATCAAGTTGTGATTCAGATGGGAGAGAAAACGAGGACATTTGAAGCGACCTTGCCTCCTAGTGGGGCTGGGTGTTTCTCAAATCCGCATGATCCAGAAATCCATACCTGCAAAGTGCTGACATCACAGCCGTATCCCACCACTCCCAGGGCAGTTGTGAAGTGTCCTTAGCATTTCATTCTACAGCATTTCCAAGGCAGCCCAGAGGTTTTAAATTCAATCGTTCCACTTGAGTTCTTAGGGTCTCTGGTAGGCTTGTAACAATTCACCACATCCACAAATCTATTCTCACAAATCAAGGTGCTGATACTATTCAAGAATCCATGTTTATTTTTCCCTTATGATTGGTGTATAATTTATAGTGGCTGTAGGGTTTCCATGAATCAATCGCATAGAGTATTACTCCAAATCTAGGCCTGACGACCCCTCCTCTGCTTTGCAATGATCAACTATCAGGTACGTGCAATATGTAGAGAGGTATAATTTGCATATGAATGGAAAAGATCAGAACTCAAACTGGAGGTCACGAGGACTGCAGTTAGAGAAACACTGGCGTAAAAAATATATACATGAATTGGAAATGATCAATTTTCAGACGCACAAATTGATGCGTATATTGGGAGCTCAAGAATTGATTGTCATCGATTAATTTTCCTTGGCAAGCCACGAATAATGTTACTACTGTGTAGGGTTTCATGGTTGTGCGGTATAGTTTTGCGACGTTTATTTCGGGTTGATGCCCAGCGTTTTACTCCATGTACTGGGAGCTACTGCAGGAACTGAATTAAGCCACTCACTTTCTCCCTCGACTATATGGATTTTCAGGCTGGCTCATTTCAGTGCATGAAGCACTGGAGCAAAACGTCACACGTCATGCTGAAGGGACACCCACAAACACATCCAGGGAGCTACTGTGATGCTAATTTCTGTGGACACCCCACGTATTAGCTACTAGCGGGAAGTTCCTGGCGTTTCCCCGGGCGAAAAAGATGTGGCGCCCTCCCGTGGCGGGGTCATTTATTACACCAGACGTGATTGTTAATACTTGTGCCGTTTGTAATGTGGCTGTTGTAAGTAGGAAGGCTGGTGTCATTTCAAATTTGAGTTCGACTTCTCTATCCCCCCCACATTCCTGAAAGAACACGCACTGTGAACATACTAATGGTACCACTTAATGTCACATAGGGCGCTTGCCACGTGTAGTTCTATTTTAAATGGCATTCAATTCCTCTGTTAGCTCTACATTAACACAGATTTTATATATAGTGATGTCACCGATTCGCACTTAAATTACGGTTCTGTTTTTTTAAATCATTACGGTATGCATTTTTACATGGTTTTCGTTACATTAAAATATACAACATGAAAACTGATCTGAGACGTACATTCAGTCAACAGATTACTTTATCTTAATTTTATGAACCGCAGTATGTTCTTACAGCACTTAAGTAATATTATTATGTTATTAGGGAAATCACGTTAGTCATGCATATCCACAGTTTAGATAATACCATGAGACATTGGTAGGCTTAAGGTGTTGGCGTTTAACATAAATACCAATTATATCCACATGTATGCCTACCTGCATGCATTCAAATTAGTTGTACATTGCTTACACAATAAATATTAATCTACAGTACTGTACTTACGGGGAGGGAGGGAGAATGCTAGATTTCTCTGATTTCCAAGCGGCCTCCGTGAATTTGGTGCGAATGGATGGGTTTTCACTATACGGCTGCCAACAGCAATCTACCAGTATTTTCACTGTTAGTAAAGGAAAGTGGAATTATGGTTAGTTTCAACACTGAAGTTCACGTTTGGGAGTGCTTGTAACTGCAGTAACGGCATATTTATTTCAGAGATGGATAATAAAACGCACGTTCAGTGAAACTGAGCCCTGTAATAGTTTTTCCCCCATCAGCCTTATAAATCGTGTAGCTTTTATAAACCATATATTTAATATGTACATCACATGAAGGTTATGAATGAAAAGTGTACTTACTCATTACTGTAGAGTTGTAGTCTGTGGCTGTGTTTTCAGGTCCATGTGATGAAATATTTACTTCCGAGTCGCTCAATTGAGGCAATGTCAAATGGGCAATGAATGGTTGGATCTGATTTGCGTGCACGTGTCTTAGCGGAGCATTACTTCATATATCATTGTGTAAAATGAACGTGCTATTTAAGTATTTATTAGCAAACAGGGTTCTGTAGACTGTCCATATTCACGTAGAAAAAGAAGAAATATTTTTTAAAACAACGCAACAACTATCGTGTTTTTAAAGTAATTGGATTGTCGCTTTGTGTTTTTATTTGTCAAGTGGACCATCGCAGGAAGCTCATGTGCGCTTTGACTTAATGTCCACTGCCCTGCACTGATAAACTGCTGTATACCACACTCTTGTTCATTTCAGGGTTAATGTGTAACCAATAGTTAAACAATATGCGAGCTAATGTCAGACACGTGCGTTTTTTTTGTTATATTGTAGAGTTTAATTTCACTTTGTGCGGCCTTTACGTACCTCTTTGACAATTCTGTAAACAATGCAAATATGATTTTAAAAATAACCCTGTAAGATATGTAGATTTAGCATTTCTCTTTGAATGCTTGAAGGCCATATTATGAATCAGAACTTTACTGAACCAAGAATGAAAGTGATCATTTGAATTTATCTGGCAATGCTACACAGGCACACGTACCCATGCATGTACGCCTAAAATATTTCAGGGTGCAGACGTGGGTGAGCACTCTGCGCACTTTACAGAAACATCACGCAAGTAGAGAGTTAAGCGTGCCGATAACACTGTTGTCAGATCTCGGAGTTTTTGGGATAAATTCTCCCTGACCTGTGATCACCAGTACGTGAATCTAACACAGGGTCTGTGGGCCAGATGAGGTATATATATTACATTTGAGATTCAAAGGCTTCCTTTTGAGGGACCTCTTAACAATGTTTATTTTTTTATTTAAAGCTTTCGTGACTGCAGTAATTCATATTCTTAGTTTTTTCGGTAAAGTCACGTTGAAGAGAAACAACAAAATAACAAAATATATATAAAACAATAAAAAATTCTCACGACGTTTTATATATATTTTGTTGTTTTTCTTCAACGTGACTTTACCGAAAAAACTAAGAAAAATGTTTATTTTGTCATTTAACATCTGCCTTAAGGATTCTATATTTTCTTGTTTTAAACTAATATGTTTTTATTTCATTAGGTAAGGCCCACTGAGCTATATAGCTTTTTTTCAGCAGCGACCTGGCCACAAATGATAGCTCAACAATGTGGCGTTTGTGGAAATTTATAGCAGCCAGTCCACTCAACTGATGTTTCTAAATGTGGAGGGAAAAAACCGAAGGACCCGGAGAAAAATCCACGCCGACTCCAAAATATGCAGGCATCAGTTGTCGGGATCGAACCTACAGACTCCTGTATACCAGGCGAAGGAGTTAGCATCTCACCACCGATGCTACAGCATCATTCATTGTTGTACTGTTGAAGGTTATTCTATAGCCTGGCTCTGCACTTAGATTGTGAGAGCTGCTACCTTTCTGCATTTGTGAGCACATTCCTTAGTGAGATTTAGTAGCACCATTCCTCTCTTTACATGACAATTTACAGATAAAACGTGTCGATCTTAGCACAGTGCAATACGTTACTTCTGCTTTGCATTTATTTACATATGATTGATTTTAAAAAGATGTGCCATTGACATAAATAATGTGATGTTTATTTGTTTGATGGAGTTTGTTTTAATGTGCACCCAGCAACACGAGGAATAATCTTGCCGATTTTTTTAATGCTCCCAGGTCACTTTCCTGCCTAGTAGAAGGCAGCTGGTGGGTAACCCGGTTTAGCTTGCATGTCTATAATTGCACTTGCTTAAATGTCATTTGTGCTTGGTGTGCAATGCATCTGTAGTATGTTACCGAACAGCCCGAAAACTTAGATGTGACGCCATCGAAAGTCGATTGAAATAAAGTTCTGCCTCTTGTGCCCTGAATGGTTTAAGTGTGGACTGTGTCTGTGAAACGTGACCCCAACATTGAATCCGTTTTTAAAATCCCATCGTCGGTAAATTTTCCAGGTGTTTTCTCAGTGGGGGACGAAAAAGCCCTCCTGTACTTTTGAATAAATGCTAAGTATGATATCGACCATCTTTTGTCCATCCCCTTCTAGATTGAGGTCCTCCCACACACCGTTTTGGGCGTACAAGTTGGTGAAGGGGGGACACCCAGGGACCGTTTTAAATTCGCCACTCATGTTAGTTGTGGCTGGAAAATCAAACCTCGGGTCGTTAGGTTCGTCGTACAGTGGTTTTGAGCCACACACTGCCGCTGCCAATGATGCACCCATAATGATGACACTTTTGGTAAACAATTGTATATATGTACTGTATACAGTTTATAATTCTGAAAATTGTAAATAATTTAACTAAGTGGGGGTAACGTCACCACACGTTTGCCATGATAAATCCACTGCTTGATAAAGCTGCCCGCAATGCAACAATCCACCCAACACCTACAGCATTGACAAAAAAAAACTAATTATGGTACATTTTGATTAAAATTTAGATTTAAAGCTTTCGTGACTGCAGTAATTCATATTCTTAGTTTTTTTCGGTAAAGTCACGTTGAAGAGAAACAACAAAATAATAATAATATATATATAAAACAATAAAAATATAATTAGAATATAATTATGGTAAATTAATGTTCAAGTGCTCGATTGGATAAATAATGCACACAAATGGTGTGCTATGAAGTCACACCCTGCAGTTGATATGGACATGTTGGTGTAATTCAAATTACATGGTGAAATATGTTTTTAAACCTTCATTTTAAATTGCAATAACCTAACCTATGGACCAACATTAAACTTGGTATAAAACAGAGGTTCTATTTTAAGATTGCTTTCCAACTGTGAGGAGATGGGTAGAGAGAGAGGAAAGCACATTGTGGGGAGGTCAGGATGAGACTTGGTATAAAACAGAGGCTTTATTTAAAGATTGTTTCCCATCTGTAAGGAGATAGGTAGAGAGAGGGGGGGGAATCAAAATGTGGGGAGGTCAGGGAGAGATGGGATAAGGCGACAAGGTTTGTGTGGTGGAATTTGGGCAAGGCACCAGCATGGCTGTGACCTGGGGCGGAGCCAGGATTTGAACGCGGAGTTTATTAATAAGTTCGAAAGGCTGCCGCTCGAGCAGCGTGCAGGGCAGCACACAATGTGACAGCCTGCAGGGCAGCACACGAGGTGACAGCCTGCAGGGCAGCACACGAGGTGACAGCCTGCAGGGCAGCACACGAGGTGACAGCCTGCAGGGCAGCACACGAGGTGACAGCCTGCAGGGCAGCACACGAGGTGACAGCCTGCAGGGCAGCACACGAGGTGACAGCCTGCAGGGCAGCACACGAGGTGACAGCCTGCAGGGCAGCGCACGAGGTGACAGCCTGCAGGGCAGCGCACGAGGCGACAGCCTGCAGGGCAGCGCACGAGGCGACAGCCTGCAGGGCAGCGCACGAGGCGGCAGCCTGCAGGGCAGCGCACGAGGCGGCAGCCTGCAGGGCAGCGCACGAGGCGACAGCCTGCAGGGCAGCGCACGAGGCGACAGCCTGCAGGGCAGCGCACGAGGTGACAGCCTGCAGGGCAGCGCACGAGGCGACAGCCTGCAGGGCAGCGCACGAGGCGGCAGCCTGCAGGGCAGCGCACGAGGCGACAGCCTGCAGGGCAGCGCACGAGGCGACAGCCTGCAGGGCAGCGCACGAGGCGACAGCCTGCAGGGCAGCGCACGAGGTGACAGCCTGCAGGGCAGCGCACGAGGTGACAGCCTGCAGGGCAGCGCACGAGGTGACAGCCTGCAGGGCAGCGCACGAGGTGACAGCCTGCAGGGCAGCGCACGAGGTGACAGCCTGCAGGGCAGCGCACGAGGTGGCAGCCTGCAGGGCAGCGCACGAGGTGGCAGCCTGCAGGGCAGCGCACGAGGTGGCAGCCTGCAGGGCAGTACGTGGTGGCAACCTGCAGGGCAGCACAAGGTGGCAGCCTGCAGGACAACACACGAGGTGGCAGCCTGCAGCATTTTGCAGCAGCCGGATATCCGATTACCGACTTTCCCAAAATTCCAGGGGGGGGGGGCCCGAGCCCCCCAGAGCTCCCCCCCTGTGGCTCCGCCCCTGGCTGTGACCAACACAAACTGGTCGTGGAGGTAAATGGACAAGCCTGCAAACACTTCACGGGCATGCCCCCCACAAGCCTCGCTGCCATCTGTCCAATTGCACAGGACAATCCCACGACCATTGTGCATCAGTCTCGCACGTAAGCTGCCCTCCTAACGTCATCGTTACCGTCAGCCATTGTCTATCCACTGCTCGATTAAGGCCTTCTCCAATGCTTCCCAACCTGAGTGAGTCGCATGTCAATAGAAACACTGGATGGTGATGATGACGATCACGTTGATGCCACCACTTCAATTAAACAATACAAATTCACGCGCGGTCCCTTTTGCCCCCCTTCACGACTCTTGCTTTTAAAGATTCTTACCCAAAATAAACAGCAATCGAGTACAATAAATTACAGTATATGCAAACCGCCAGCACGTAATATTGTCATTAATGCAGGGGAGCGTGCATTAAAAGAAAGCATGCAAACGTGGAGTTTTTTTGTTGTTGTTAAACGTTTTATTTACACGTGACTTTAACATTGTAAGGGAAAGAACGTGAGGAGCATTGTGGGAATAACTGGAAGGCATCGTCTTGTTGGGGATTGTGACAATGTTTGTACCGACATTGGGGGGAACATTGTGGATGATACAGCATGCTTGCCACGAGTGGGTGGTGTGAGGCAAGAGTGATGGGGGCAGCGAGAGGTAACATTTAATTTGTGTTGGTTTCAGTTTCATTTATTTTGTATAGCCCCTGTGAGCCATTCGGCTCTTGAATCGGGTGCAACCGCAACAAAACACAAAAACACGAACAAGAAAAACATCTTAAAGTGACTACGTGACTGTGCAAACAGGAAAATACAGGGGGAAAAAAACAGCAAATATTCCTGAAAAAAGCACCGTACACCACCAACGCTGTGTGTAAAAATCCCAGTGGGATGCAAGTCAAACAACAACAACCACAACACAAATAAGATTAAAGCCATCAGTCCGAGTGCACGTTATGAGGGGGCGTTGTGAGGTACCAAAGGAACAGCAGATTTGAGGAAGCATTTTAAAGGGGACTGAGGGAAACGTTGCGATGTAACAGTGAGGGAATATTGTGAAGTGGACAGTGTGAGAGAATATAAATATTTTTAAGAAGGTAAGGGAACTGAGAGAAAGTAACAGGGCATCGCGAGGAAACATTACGACGGGATATTGGAGGGAGCGAAATAGACGTCTGATGATGGAACAGTAAAAAAAAAGAGAACGTTGTGAGAGGATCGCGAGGGAAAATTCGTAAACAGCAGTGAGGGGGGAACATTTTTTTGTTTTATTACATTGGACGGGGAAGTATGAGGGAAACATTGTGCGGGAACTGTAACGTTAACACGAGTGAGGGAACTTTATAAAGGAACATTTTAGGGTGCGATGTAAAGAGGTGCATTGTGAATGATCCATTGTAAGGGGCACAGTGCATTGTTTCTGCGCGAGAAAGCGGTTAGGGTTTAGTGTTTTAAGGTTTCTTTGTTCTTTTGAAATTTGCGCCAAAAATCACCATGACGTCACGTCCTGCCAACGTTGCTCGTTTTTTACAAGCCAAGTTTTTTTTCAGCCCGTGTCCATCAAATTAATTGGCAGACGTGGAGAGAAGGTGAAGCGTTGTTGTTGGGAAAAAAATAAGGTATCTTTATATATACTGTAAATAACGTCTGTTTTTAAAACGTCATGGTCGCGAGTAAGGCGGTCCGGATTTGACGTTCCTCAAAAAAATAATCCCCTCGAACATAACCGTATTTGAACAATTTATTTCGTCACAAATCCCACAATTACGCGCATATATTAACTTATTCGTTTTAAGAGGCGATAATATCTAGAAATAGCGCACATATTGAATCAAATTACATATATTTCAGGGTCGCCCTGCGCGGAGGGATATGAACGGGCGGAGGGTTAGGTCCAGTGGGGGGAGGTTCCCTTGGGTCAGTCCCGACTCGACGGAGCTGGGGGCTCGTTCGGTTTTATTTTTTATTCCTTTTATTGTTGATTTTAAACCATTAAAATGGGTGATTTCTAAGTTTACAATAAGTCCCTCGTGCGGTACAGGTCCCTCGTCTGTGCGGAGAGGTGAGTGCCGGGCATGACATCGTCGCAAAGTGTCGCTGCTTCTCCTCGTCGTTAAAATGTTATTTTTAAACGTTATACAATATTACATTTGCTCTCGGTGTCGGTGTACTCACGAAGTAAAGTGGCGTTCGACTAACCAGCTAGCTACCCGTGCTTATTGTAACATTCGTGCAATCATCTGTCAAGAGGCATAAAGAGTCTTGTGTTGACGCCTGGGCTGGTGCTGTATGCACAATAGGGGTAAATTAAATTAAGATAAAACATTGCAAGGTTTATAGTTCACCTAATGCACAATATTGTTACTCATATAGAGTATTACCAACACCGAGGCAATCTATACAAGCACACTACTGAATACAAATCTACAGTTACACTATAGCATATAGAAAATGGCACACAATAGGGGCAAGTGACTGTGGTTATAGTTTATATTACTGTACGTCTATATATTATTGTTAAAATATGTATGATAGGGGAAGATAGTCTATTTATATGTACGTTTTCCTGTGTCACAACAATTGTTTATTTACAACTGTTACGAACACAAACACACCATACAGGCACACGTTACTGTGTAGCAGTATTGTATAAAATTACAATAATGTGTAAAATATAAACTGGGGGCCTGTGACATTGTGTTTATAAAAACCACAGTAAAACAGTTGGCATTTATAAATCCTGAAAAGGTGTTCGATGTACGACACAAACAGGCGTTGCTATGTATGTACCCCGGTTTATAGCGAGCGGTGTAGGTGGGTGGGGTGAGGGGTACCACCGGTCTCTCACCTCGGCCACCTGAGTTCGATTCCTGTCCACGGCTCGAACATCAGTGGCGAAGTGATATCCCCGATCCGGCCCTGGGCTATCATCCTCCCTTCGTCAAACCCGCACGGAACAGCGTAGTGTGAAGTATGGACAAACTACCTCCCCCCCCCGGCCCCTTCCCATCCAGGAGTGGATTGACAAAGGCCGTACTTTTAATGCCTACGTGGATACCCGTGCGATCCCTATACCCAATCCCAGAATGCACAATGTGGGCCACTTACAGTAATGTGTTTAGACTGTGTCTTGTAGTTGTTGACGTGGGATCTGTTAGACTATACTTCCACCGCGCTGGTTGGTTCATGAAGACATAAATCGTCTACCCTCTGCTGACCACAGTTGTTAAAGTACCGTACATGCTTTTGTTCGTATCGTAAACGTTGTGCACAGTGTTTTGGCATGTTCAGTATAGTAGTGCATGAGTAACTACTACTATTGTCCACGCTTCGTATTGCGGGGCCTTGCCTTTATTACAATGCTGGTAAGTGACACGGAGGGTGTATGCGCGTCATCTGCTGTAGGGTGTATTTTCTTCCATTGCATCGGTACTAAAAGGCATGATGACGTGCGACGCAAGTGTTCATTTTTTAGTGTGCGTACGCAAATATTTCGTAATTCTCCCGTGTTACGAATCGCCTGAAAAAGGGCGTACATGACGGGGAGTTGCGATTGCTCCCTTACGTCCGTCACCCCCTGATCAGTACCCCAACCTTATTATAGACCAAATTCAGACCTTATTGCTCACCCCGTGCCTGTTTCAATCTCAACGTTCATCCTACAAGTCCCATCACAAGGGAGAAACACAAATAGACAATCACGACTGGCAATCACCGCTACTACATTCACCACTAGTACACTCGCCATTTGTACACTCACCACTAGTAAACTCGCCACTACGCTCACCACTAGTACACTCACCATGACATACCTGTCAACCCCGTATCAGTGCCCTACCTTATTACAGACCAAATTTATACCGTAAATCGAAAGATCATCCCGTGCCCTTATAAATCTCACCTTTCATCCGACAAAGTCCCATCGCAAGGGAGAAACACAAAAAAAGTTTTTTATCCGTATTGAAACGGCTGTACGCCTTATGGACCTCAAAACTAAATTTTCCTGTACAAGAATACGGATAACCCTTATGGGTTGATAGCTGTGCGTCTCTCAGGAGTGACCTAAATGCGGTTTCCCCCGCTCGTTATGTCGTGACGCGAGGCGCTCTTTGCCACGGCTATTTTTACCTAGACAAACGTTTCGAGACTCGCGTAGCAACGCCCCTGAACGATCGATGGAGCGAGCCAGTGGGGTTGGTGGGGGGGGTTGAAGAGTTTGGTTCCAAGTTCAGGGACCAGAGTGGCCTGGTGTTGTGACGCAACCCGTGGTATGCAAAACGGGGTTAAACTCGGTCGCTTAGCCTGTGCCAATGTGTCTCACGTATTGCATTTCACTGTGTAGGTGTACCGTAAAGCGTGTTTCACATCTGCGTGCCAAGGGCATAATAGATGGCAAAAAGTCACTATCCTTCCAGATTGTTTTTTTTTATCCAATCGTCTTGGGTTTCAGTTGATAACATATTAAGGGGGCACCACTCCATTAAATTTTGTATAGGTAGGTGTTAAGGGTTCATGGGTTAGAGGTTCGGATTCATGGTTGGGGGTTAGGGTTTATGGTGTGGGTTAGAGATGGTGGTACTTTAAACTGCCTTTTCAGGAGTTTCCTGCATTGAATATTCCCATCAATTCACGTTTGATGGGAGAAAACCCATAGCTACGAGGGGAAAACAATCACAAGCTCCACACAGATGGATAAAAAAAAATCTGTTTTATACTCCCATCCCAGCACAACAAACGGCGATATCTACACATGCTATGTATAAATACACAATTATGTTTATAGGACATACTAACACTGCTGCATGGTATGTATATGTAATCTGTGAAATACGTATGCAGTGTATGCATACGTATTTTGCCTGTAATCTAGATCAGTGGCAAAGGGTTGGTTGAGCACAGATTTTTTTAAACTCCCAATCCCACCAATGCAGCAAACGTTTTGAGAATCGGTGAAGCTCTCCTGGGTTAGTAAATAGCAGAATACATATGTTGTGGTGGCATTATTGTTGGAAGTGTTGGCCTCTTCAAAATCATGTACAGTTTGGTCTATATCAAAGTGTATATTTCACATCAGGTTTTAAGTACCATATATTTTTATATACCCACTACAGATCTAAAGACATTAGCTAATGGATCCACATGCACTTTGGACATTCAAACACGAAAAGGTAACGTTATCTGTACATTAATATACATGAGTATGACATTGCCTAGTAACAGAGTGCGCTATTTGTGTCCCTCGCAGGTAGCTTTGTCTGGTTGGAAGGAACGCCTGGATTGGAGTCGCCATGCCAGGGGTGCTTGGTGCACAGAGGCTGATGGATCTTTTGGACGATGCCTTGGCCAAAGAGACCAAGGCAGGGCTCAATCGCCTCCTGCAGATTCCTTCCAACCAGGTTCAGTCTTGATGCCTTTCGATTTGTGCTGCACACCAAGACAAAGAGCATATTTAGGACATAACCCTGTGCCCTGACGCAGCTTTAAATCAATCTTTCATATGTCCCTAGATTGCGCATGACAGGTGTTGCCGATTGATTTATAATGGAATGTAATTTAATTGGCAGCTGCTTCTGGCTGTGGGCTCTGGAGCCTAAAAAAAAATTGGTGACAGATGTGGTCATTCAGCCATGCACCGAAAGTTCCTCTTACGTGCTGAGTGCGTCATTGCGACTCACTTCACCATGTGGAACCAAAGTTGGGCTGGGAAACTTAGTGCATTTTTTCTGTCATTGCATGTTTGTAAGTTTGACTCACTCATTGCACAGTAACATTGTACACTTGTTATGAGTGTCCGAGATTTCTAGAATAATACAACAGGTAAAAGTGGAGCTTAATTGAAATTAATAACTTTGTTTTAATGCTCAATACAATAATTTTATTATATTACCTTCTCAAAACATGTATTGTACTATTTTTTAAAATTCGCTGTTAATGGGTTGTAATGAAGTGGGGGGCATTGATTGTTAACGGACCATGTTTTTTGGCTGGTGCAGGATGAGGCTATCTCTCCAGCACAGAGAGACGAGGTTGTGCGCTGGCTCGCACAGCTTAATGGAACTTTCCGCTTCTACCCCGAGACTCTGGCGCTGGCCGTCAGTACCCTCGACCGCTTCCTTTCCATCGTCAAGGTAAGCGAGCCAGTTCCAACACATGCTGATGATAAAAATGTGATTTTGTAAATTTGTTTAGAGTTGATTGACTTTAACACAATTAAAATACAACTTTTCAGTGCAATAATAATGTCAGTGTATGTGTGCATTCATGATAAGCGTGTTATGTAACGCACTAATAAAACTTTACTGTGTCTACAGGCTCGACCAAAGTACCTCCGCTGCATGGCTGTTTCTTGTTTCTTCCTGGCTGCCAAGCTCTCAGAGGAGCCAGAGGTAAGCTCACTAATCACCAGGCAACTGTGCCTGTGCTTGTGCCATTGCAGATTTTTTCCAGAGCCATTACTGCACTCAAACACCTTGGTGTAAACAAGTCAGCTGAAAAAGGCACATTTTTCTGGGTCACAAACTGGGGAAAAGAAAACTGAACCGTGACTTCCTCATTCGTATTAAACTTCAAAAATAGATCTCAACCACATTGTAGTTTTGCACCATTGAATGTTCCAAAACAACACAGCGTGAAGGATGAAAAATACACCAGCAATAGGAACAACTTTAAGAGGCTTAGCGCCGGTGGGTTGCATGTGGCGTTACAAGAGGCCCGGACGCGCTTTGCAGGCGGTGCCGATGGTGAAGGACCTGGCTCGCGAGAGCGAGTGCGGCTGCTCGCCGCGCGAGATCCTGCGCATGGAGAGGCTGGTGCTGGACAAGCTGGGCTGGGACTTGCGGGTCGTCACCGCTCTCGACTTCCTGCACATTGTAAGATGTCGCCTGGTGATGCTGCCAAAACATGCCCGCTGTCTGAAGTGGACTCGACAGAGCTGCCTGGGCAGACACAGGGCCCGGGGGTATAGTCGTGTGTGGAGTGAAGAAGATGATAAACACGGCTGAAGCAGTGAAACCAGCAACTTTCAACCATGCATTCCAACACAACTACTGCCTGGGGAATTTTTAAAGATCACTGAAATTCCCCTAAATGCACACTAAGCTTGGTAGACTGTATTCTTTAAATTACCAATGTTCAGTTCTTGTTTATTAACCTACACATGGCTATGAATGTTTACTTTAACAAAAAGATTACTCATTAAGTCAATACTAAAATTGATGAGTTCAACTGCTGAAGACTACAATCACTTCATGATAGTTTAAACAGCTCATTAAAATAGGGTTAATGTGCCCTGACTTGTTATCACGAGTGTTCATATTCCAGGCCACCTCACTTGTGTTCACTAACAGAAGCCCATCATGTTAACAATGCTCTCGTGCACTTAATTTCAGTTCCAAGCGCTGGTGTGTTGCGGGCGGGAGCATTCCCTCTCGGCACACGAACTGAGTCGTTTGACGAACCTGCTGTGCCGCTGCCTGACATGCGGACACCTGCTGGCCACAGCTCGTCGGCCCGCCACTCTCGCCTTGGCTGTGCTCAGTCTGGAGCTGCAACGCAGTGGCTCGCCTGGCTGGTTGGCAATCACTGCTCAGATCCAACGTAAAGCTGAGGTGAGCCGTTCACCCAGCAACATTTGCACAATCACTGTTACGCACACTCAAGCTGAAATCCAGCTCCCACTCCTGACCCATTACATTTGTGACTTAATGGCTGTACTGTGGCCCTGCCCTACTTAAATACTTTGAGTTTAATGTACAAATCTTTTGTCAATATGCTGCTAGATGAAGGCCTCCCCACATTGTTGAGGTTTTACTTGACCATGCTGGTCAGTGTAGGTTGGTAAAAAGGAGGCCCAGGACTGTCAGATATCACTCCCAACTTATGTCGTGGCTGGGAATAAAATAGGGATTGCCAGGTCAATAGCCGTTTCTGCACTCTGCTATAATGAGTTTCGAAAATTAGGCCAGTTTTTCTGGACAGCGAGAACATCCGTAATGCCACTCTATGCTATTGATATTAAAATATATTGCTCTTGGTTTGCAGGTGAGGTTATAAACCCTGTTTTATATTAGCACAGCTTCATCACTTTATTAAGTTTCATCTGAAAAAAATAATTTAAGTATCCCAATGTATTCCAAAGCTTTACTACGAATAATTGTTCACAGCAAAATACTAACAGACCAATTTATTTTCTGATAATGTTTCCCTCCCCCACCTCATTTGACATTGCGATTACAGATTGAAGTTCAGGATCTGGTGCAGTGTGGGGAGGAGGTGCACCGCTTTCTGTCCACACCACCTTGCCCAAAGCAGCAGCAGCAGCAGAAGTGGATGAGCGGGGAGAATGCTGTGTACGTGTTTGCGCCTCAGGCATGCAAGCCACGACCAAGCCTTTCCCATGTCAGCAAGCCAGTGCCGTCACCGCGCAGCCCCCTCTTGTCCGACAGCTCTCCCCTGTCCTCCCCCGAGCCTGTGAAGGTCACAGTTATTGGGCACCCTTACCCCTCTAAGCCCATCCCTGTGCCGAATTGGAGGGCTGAGGAAACCGACGCCGACTACTGTGATTCCATTAAAAGCCTGTACGGGGAGGAAGGGGAGTGGGGTTCCCCATGCCCACCACTGCAACCACCCATGTCTTTATGAAGGCATTGTGCATGTGCAGGGAGAAGTGTGCCAGAAAGGAGTGAGCGAGTATGCCAACCGTGTGCGCGTTTATTTTTTTGTTCAAGAGATTTGTTAGTTACCTGTGATAACATAATGAAGGGGCATGGATATGTTTAACATTTAAGGAGCCTTTACAGCTGCACATCTCAAGTCCGTCCAAACGTTGTGCAAGCAGGTTTATGCTTCGTTTATATCGTTGACCACCAAAATTTCTTCACGATACAAGCTATTATTTATACTTTGAAAGTTCCTTAAGTTCATGTTACACTTAAAATTAAGAGAATGTTATTTTAATTTCATTTCCAACAGTATTTAACATCATTTGTGCTTAATTTGATGACACGCATATGGAGGTTTAAAATTGGGGTCCGTTCTAGAACCTGAACTCGTGTTGCATCCTTTGAGAATGCAGTTTTGAAATTAACATTTTCCTATTGCTGAATTTAGTCTTAGTTTAGGCTGCCACATTATTTTGAACTTTAGCTTGTGGAATAAACAAAGTGAAAATTAAGTTACATTTCACTTCCAAGGCTGTTGTTGCTGTGAAAATTTTATCATTTTAAACTATTGCCACTTAAAAATCAGTGGGTAAGAAAATTTTTCAAAGCTTTTGCTGGAAAAAAAGTGCGCACTTCTTCATACTTATTGCTCTTCAGTCTGTTACTCAAAATGTAGTCTAATGTACTGTAATGTTGACATTTTCTCTCTGGCGCTTAACAAGTGCAATGCACAAAAAAAATTCCTAAAAACTTGAATAAAAAAAGTTGTGTAAAGTATTTTTGTATGTTTTCCTGTTTTTGGATTTTGTTAGTGTTGATATAAATGTATTGCCACGTGAGCCTTTAACATGAGCTGAAATGTTGGTGTGCTTGGGCACAAAATACATTTCCTATGAAATATATCTGTTATGCATTTACATATTTTAAAATAATGTTAATTGCTTAACATTTGAAAGTGCTGAAATATGATATTCAAGTGAAAAAAGCAAGAACATTTGAAAACCACGATCTGGGTGCAGATGTGTCGTGTATGAACATAATGCAGTACTTAATCTTAAGTTGCTTAACCACATTCAGTTCTCCATTTAGTGGTGATCTGCTTATAACATTCTGTAAATGGCAGCTAAGCACACTTTATGACGGCGCTTTGATCATGTCAGATTTGTAAAGTATGCCTTTATAAAAGATTTAAGTAACTCTTACACTAGAAATGTATTATGTGCTGTATATTTGTATAATTTTACCTTATTTTATGTCGATGCTGTACTGTGCTTTACATGGCATGTCTGCATACTAGGCAGTGTTGATGCAGCCTACTTTGCCAAGGTGCCATTGTCTCCAAAAAAATAAATGTTGCTCAAGCGTATGTTATCAACGTGTCTTTTTTCCCCAGTCGATACTTTTGGCATTTTTTTTTTTACCACGAATGTGGGGTCTGCACCTTCCTGTTCACTCATTCTTGTCCTTGGCCACTCCACAGGCTTTCACATCCTGGTTCATTACTTTTTAGAACTGCCTCTTTGGTCTCTGCCCCGCTGCTTAATTTTCCATCACCTTTCCGATGTGGTTGTCCTCTTGCAACACTTCCTAGCCATCAGTCAACTTTCAGCTCGTCTTACATGGATACCACTCGTCTTCCTCAGCACTTCATTTCTGACCTGTCCCTTATATCCATGTCAAGTTTTCTGTGGTGCTCGGGACTTTAGAATCAAACAGACCAGTATGTCAATAGTCATTCATTTTATAAATTCCCATTCAAGTCAGAATCTTCCTGTGTCATTACTCTACAGGTTTGTCCATTTCAGCCATGCCTTTGAAGCAGTCTTAGTTTGATATACAAGTCCAGTCCTCTTACCCCGTTGATACTTAAATGCATCCGTTTTTGGTAGAGTTTCCCCCACCAACTTCACTTTTTGCTCTTCTCGCTTCCTTTATAAACCTAGGTCTCGTACTTGGTCTCTGTTCTACTTATCTTTCAAGCTCTTGCATTTCTTCTCTGCCTTTGCAACAATATCATCGGCAAGCAATGCGCATCACGGTGTTTTTTTTCGGTCTCCCTCAGCAGGGGGTCTCAGACAAAGCAAGAAAATGTTGGGGGTTCGTGCACTTCTCCCACGGCCAAGTCCACTTAGGTTGAGGGAACTAGAATACACAAATTGACCTTCCCTCTACGGGAGTGGAACTGTTACAGTATTTAAAAGCACCACAAACTGTGTGGGCAACATTATTTCAATGTGCTCTTGTACACCGTTCTTTAGTTAACCACCATTTCGTTTTTGTGGATAATAGTACACTTTTAAAATCACGTTTACTTTGTGTGTATATTTAATTTCTTTCGCGCCATACGTAGCTAGCCAACTGCACTAATCGGAGGTGCCGACCAAAGATCAAATATGCCAAGTGGCCAGCAACAAAGATCTATTGAAGGTTTGATAGTAAGATTAAACACAAAGGCTTTCGCGACCAATATCCAGAGGTTTTTTGAGTTAGATTGCGTAAATCTGTCGTTAAAACCCACCACCACCCGACCCAGCCAACTAGTAAGGGTTGTCACGTAAACACGTTTACGTTACACGAATGCGTGTGTTGTTTACGTGACAACCCTTACTAGTTGGCTGTGTTGGGTGGTGGTGGTGGTGGGTTTTAACGACACATTTATGCGATCTAACCCCAAAAAAACTATTATGGTTGATAGAAAGTTCATCTTAAATGCATCCATAAAAGTTGTTTTCGGTTAGATCACGTATATATAAAGGTTTCGTTTAACCTGCCAACACCCAATTCGTAAGATTTGTCACGTAAATAAAACGTGCCAATTTGTTACTATTTCAGCACACAGGTGTGTTGGGGAGTAAACCCACAACATACAATTCGAGTACGACGTTTCACTTGGTGATTACAACCAGCTTCAGGCGATTAGCCAGAATTAAAATGTAGCAAGGTTATAAGAACTTGGAGAAAATGGGTAATAGCAGGGGATTTTAAAGTCCATCAGTGTAAGGGAAGAAGCAGAATACATTTATTTATGCTTACAATATTGTGGTCGAACACTGGATGGGGTGAAACGGCTTGGTAGAGAGAGTTCTGAACATGGCTGGATGGATCTTGATTTGAAGCTTTCGTGACTGCAGAAATCCACTCCTTTGGTTCTTTCGGTAAAGTCACGTAGGTAGAAAAATAATAGATCACGAGGTTTCGAGCGCAACACAAGCGTCCGTCATCGGGACGCTTGTGTTGTGCCCGAAACGTGATTTTATACCTGCGTGACTTTACCGAAAGAAGCAAAGAGTATGGGTGGATGGAATTAATTATTTAACTTATTTGGAAGCAGTAACCTCTACACTATATAACCGTAGTGATAAATAAGCAGGCGATTGGAGATAATCAACAATTTCTGGATCATCAATCAACACGACTGCCTTACATTGAACTACATCAGCTAGAGAGATAGGCAATGAGCATTCCACGCCAGGATGCGTGTCCTGTAGAGTTATAATAATTATTCTAACAATGATCATTGTTCAGAGTTGAAGGCGTTTTGGAAAGTAAATAAATCCATGTTGCTTATGTCTCCAATTCAAGCATATGAGCAAGTAGTTTTGTCGTAAAAAAAAAACAATAGCGTGTGCAATAGATAATTGCCAATGAATTCATACTGGTAGGAACCTCCTGGTTACACCAGCCCACAGGGGATTATTGTGTCCGTCCGTCCGTCGTGCATCCAAAAATGGGAGGGGTGGGGCTGGGTGGGTGGGGAGGGGCTGGTCACCCCGTGGTGCCCTTATAAAACTCAACGTTTAACCTACTCACGCCGGCTTGGGCCCACCCTCACAGTCGGGCATATTTGCGGAATACACCACGTGGTGCCGCCGTTGACCCTGGCCATTGACCGAGCAACCCAACGTTCCTACTAGCTCCCTCCGCAGGAATGTGTTTATTTGGATTAACGCGTCTTTGACATTAATACATTTTTGCAACGGCACCAGTCAACCACCAGGGTGCAGCATTGCCACATTACGTTAAACATTTCGGTTGATCGCTTGCACTTTTTTTGTAGGAAACAATTATGTTACTGATGCAAAAAAACATCCAAAATTATTATACAATTGTTAATGTGGAAAAGTTTACACGAAAGCGTGTGTTGTTAATGCAAACAAACTAAAATGTCATTATAATTGCATTCCACAAAACTGGCAGCAGTGTAAATCAGCTTTTAATCTAGACTAATGGGGCCACGGTAGCCCAAATACACAAAGTTCCGTTCACATTAATCAAGGTTATTCATTTTTCTTAGCTCTTTCGGTAAAGTCACGTTAAAGGGAAACAATAAAATAATAAAATATATAAAACAATAAAAATTCTCACGACGTTTCGACCATAACGCAAACGGTCATCATCAGGTGTGAAAAGCAACGGCAAGAAACATTTGAAAGAAGTGGCGTTGCTTTTCACACCTGATGATGACCGTTTGCGTTATGGTCGAAACGTCGTGAGAATTTTTATTGTTTTATATATATTTTATTATTTTATTGTTTCCCTTTAACGTGACTTTACCGAAAGAGCTAAGAATATGAATTACTGCAGTCACGAAAGCTTTAAATCAAAATTTTACGGTTATTCATTGTATTATTTATTTTTCTCATAGCGGAATACAAATCCCCACCCTCGTCCAGTAGAAGAGACCGTCAGCATGACTGCCCAGACGGTCCATTAATAATCCGGTCACGAATCCTGTAACGGTGCTGCTCCTATTCAGAGCAGATTGAGAAATTCCTCTGTGGGCTAACAAAGGAATAACTAAAAGACGAGGCACAAATGCAGAAGGCCTTCAGATAAAAATGGCCAAAATCTAAATTTTGATTTAAAGCTTTCGTGACTGCAGTAATTCATATTCTTAGTTTTTTCGGTAAAGTCACGTTGAAGAGAAACAACAAAATAATAAAATATATATAAAACAATAAAAAATTCTCACGACGTTTCGACCATAACTCAAACGGTCATCTTCAACACACCTGAAGATGACCGTTTGAGTTATGGGCGAAACGTCGTGAGAATTTTTTATTGTTTTATATATATTTTATTATTTTGTTGTTTCTCTTCAACGTGACTTTACCGAAAAAACTAAGAATATGGCCAAAATCTTTTGAATGTTACTTTTGAACAAAAATAGAAGTGTATTGGCGTTTAGGCTCAGTGTTGCGGTGTAGTTGAGGCCCTATTATTGACGAATGTGTTGGTTTGTCATCGGTAAATAATTAATTTATAGATTACAATGAACATTTTCACTGGTGTTGATTTTGGACAAAAATGGCCAACATTTTAAAAGCTCAAGTAAAAAAGAAAAGGAAACTTGTTGTTGTTTATAGACTTAGTACGCTATAAATTAAAGAAAAGTGGGAACATTCAAGTGCATTTATGCACCTAAAAAACATCTACATGCTAACCTAGATAATTTTTGGGGGGGGAAATGGCCAAAGTAAATAAACGTATTTTTTAAATCTATTTTTTTTAATTCTTCCATCGTTTGGAAACTTTTGGAGAATTCAGATTAAAAGATATCTCTGGTCAAACCTACAATACAAAATGGTTGTTCAGAGAGCCAAAAAAAAAACACATCCCATTCCTCGATAAGAATTAGTAGAAGCAGGAGATACCACAAGGACAGGGAGCAACGTCAACATTTCCCCCTAGGCAACCTCGTCCGCGTGTTTGTCTTTCCCCCGCAGTGTAAACGCTGCTGCTGCTCCTCCTCCTCCTGTTGCTACGGTGACAGTGAGCACGTTGCCATTTTGAGGATGGCTCTCGAGCCAAGGGCACGCACACACGACTGCCTTCCAAAGCAACAAAAAAATAGAGAGAGAACGAGAGAGGAGGAGGAGGAGGATGGGGGGGGGCTATGAAAAACAAGAGCCACAACCTGTAAAAAAAGATCATACCCTCTTCTCTGTTCGTGTTATTTTCAACTTATAAATTGTCAGGAATTTTATTTTTTGGAATAAATGTCATGTATTTCTAGGTTCTTTTTCTCCCGACGTGTTTATGTTACGGGGACCGCACATTTTTCCTGCCACGTGGAATTTTCCAGTTCACACCCTCGTCTTGTTTGGCTGTTGCGTAACCAGCCAAAGAAGACAAATTAAACACTCACAATTCAAATCACGACGTTCGTGAAGGGATGACATATAAACACTTTGAAAGACACGTAATATAAGAATAATACTTTGCGATGCTTTGTCAATCCACTGCTCTGGGAGGGAGGCCCTCCCATGTGCCGTTTTGGTTATGGGAATTATTTGACCATACTTTACCATACCGGTCGGTGTGGGTTGGACGAACGGAGGGTGGGGGGGGGCCAGAACCAGTTCA